CCCAACCTTGGCTCTAGCCAGCACACAGTGCTTCTGGGGGAGGCAGAAAAAACCCTGACACCCACAGCAACAGAAGGAGGAAAAATTCCTTCCTGGCCCCACATGGTAACCAGACAAGCCCAGAAGGATGGAAAAACAAGATACCCTCCCCTCTGCACTGCAAGCTGCAGCTACAAACACAACTCTATGCATCACACCATGATTGGAGAGCCAGAACTCCCTTTTCCATCCTCCTATTGTAGCAAAACCCCCAGTTTTTGGGTTTTGTTTTTATTTACCAATGGATTCCATCCCCTTCCCCAACCATTTCTGACTTTTTCTCTCCACCTCTATTCCCTATAGATAAGTATAAGTAAGCTAAGATGTAAGATAAGCTTTAACATTTTATTTTAGGTAGCAAGTTTTATTTTTCTCTCCCCTCTTTGCAAATAAGTGCCCTGCTATTTTGATATAGATATCCACTGTTTTATAAGTGATAATTATTGTGTTTATATTGATTTTTACTGTTCTATATTACTGTTTTACTAATACTATATGATTTAGGCCTACATATGTAAATTAACATAAGTCATGTCAAGTTTCCATCTTGTGTCCCCTGATGTCATAACCTATGACTCAGACCTACCCCTCCTATGTAACTTGGTTCCTGAATGAATGATGGTGCTTGAGAGTCAATGGCAGTAGGTCTAAAAATAGCTCCCTCTGAATGACCGAACCATCAACACCAATACCTGGACCAACGACCCAGCCATTGGAACCACCCTCAGCATTCAAGAAACAAAAGATAAGGCAACCCACCATTGTGCCAAGACTGAACATGCTCAGTAAGAACACCTGGAACCCTCTGGAACACGACTGACATTGCCTGGACAGGCCCTGCCATAGGAGATCAGAGGTAGTCTGCCCCATAAAAAGGATAGTGAAGACCAAGTCCTTGGGATGCTCTCTCCATCTGGACCAGCGCCATGCCACCGAACCTATCCACCCAGAGGCCCTGCCTGCAACCCCGCTCTGGGCAACAGCTACTGGACAAAGACCCCTTTCCAGCCTGGATAGGTAGCTATCACCCCCCACGCCCTCTTCAGCCAAGGACTTGGACTCCATTTCTCTTCCCTACCTGGACTCCAGCCCTTCCACTCAGTCTTTCTCCTGCTGCCATTGTGAGTGCTTGTGTGTGCGCACGTGTGTGTGCAAACCAATAACTTCATGGGGCTGTATAGTGTGTTGTCTGTTTAATAAACCTGTTATTTGGACCCCTGAGTTGGGTTTGCTTTTTTACAGTCTGGCCTTGCTCTAATCTCTGCTCCTCGCCCCTCTAATTTGTGTCTCATTTCTCCCTCTCCTGCTTCTGGCTCACCGCCACCTCCAACACCTGTCTTGAGCTCCTCTCTGCCTGAAAACCCCCTGTTTCTTTGCCACTGTCTTATCCCCACTGCCTTTTCCCCTGAGCTCCCAGGTTTTTGCCTCTGTTTCTTTCCTGGCTGTCTCTTCCTTGCCACCACTTATCTGCCCCCCTCCCACAATATCTCAGCTGTCTGCCTCAGTTTCCAGCCCTAAGCTCCCAGGTTTCTGTCTCTCTCTCTTTCCTGGCTGTCTCCTCCTTGCCACCAGGCTTTAATTTTTCTCTTGCACAAGTGACCTCGAGTAACCCTGGGGCCACTTCATCTTAAGTCCCTCAGCCAGCTTCTCTCTAGTCCACCGGTTCTAATTCTGGTTCTGGCAACTTTCACTCCCTACACTTTAACTCTCTTTCTCACCTTAACCTTCCCCCAAGTATCCCAGGTACCCCAAGCATGCATATACATACCATACCATCCAAGTTAGGAACTTACTTGTGTGTATGTGGGTTGTGAGTGTGTGTATGCATATATGTATGTCACTGTGTGCATGATATATGAATTGGTGATCTGTGTATGTGTACTGAGTGTGCAGGTATGGACAACTGATTTTTGTCTAACTTTTGGGGTGTATAGTGTATGTGCTTGAATTGGTGATAGGTATGCATGTGCCGAGGCTAGTTTGGATGCATATGTGCCTGAGTTGGTAGTGTGTGTGTGTGTATGCACCTACTTGATTTGTATGTTTGTATATGTGCAATTGTGTCACACCCTCCTGCCCAACAGCGCAATATTGAGATCCTGAGAGTTGGCCTGACCCCACAGGGCAACACTATCACTTCTGTAAATTCATCCCAGGTCCTTTTATCTTTCATAAGAACCCCTGTTGTGGATTTCTGCTTCAACCTCCTTAACGAGAGAGGCCCTTGCCTTAAGGCACTGCTTAAGTTCGATTGGGCACAACTTTAAAACTTGTCATCCATACTTCTACACATGAAGCATTTGCCATGTACTTTATATCTAAAATGGGAAATCTTTACAGACATTACAAGCTGTGAAGAGCCAGGAATGAGGCTTACACTTGTGACTTCAGGACAGACTGACTTCAGCACTGGCACTAACTACCCTGCATCCATTACATGAGAGGCTCGCTACTTCCATAACTGCAGCCTTGCTTCTCTCTTTTCACAGTTGCTCTTTCTGCTAGACCAGTGATTCTCAATCAAGGTGCCACAGCACCCTGAGGTGTGGCAAACTTCCCTCAGGAATACTGTAATGCAGGTGTTGCTGCTGTGGCAGCAGCCAAGTAAAACTATCCTATGTGCACTCCTGCATGTGAGATAGTTCCACCAGAGCATCTGTTTCCAGAAGGACCACAGAAGGGGCTGGATTGGGAAGAGCTACACAGTACAAGGCAGGCCCTGCCTACTTTAAGCTGATTGCAGCTCTAATGCAGGAGGATTGTGCACATATGCCACAGCCCTTCCTGCAATGGCTGTGCAGCAGACACCTAGGGCAGTTTAACCTGGAAGCAGCAGAACTCAGTTGTGAAGCACTGAGGTGAGTTAAGGCAGTACCAACAGGGAGTCCCAACTGGGGGCTCCCCCACATTTTAAAAAAGCAGTGGAGGGCTGCCCTGACCCTAAAAAGTTTGAGAACTACTGTGTTAGGCAGATAGACACCAAGGATATCCAATGTCCTAAACATCTCATGTTTACTCTGAGTTTGACTACATGCTTCAAGACAAGAGATATACATACATGCTTTTATTTCCCAACACATTCTGCACCCTGTTAACCAGGAAGCCCACCATATTCAAAGTGCACAATGAGCACACAAAACTAATTCTGTAATGTGTTTCAAAGCCCAATTAAAGCCATAAACACTAAAAGTATAGACTTACAATTCCATTCTGTACGCTGAAGCCCAGCTGATATTTCAGGTCTGGTCGTTTTATGAGGACAGTAGTGACAGGAGGACAGCTGACAATGTTCAGCTTCACTTGTGTCTGGTTCTTAAGACCCTGGAAAAATATCCCAAAAGTTAACATTTCCAGAAATGGCTCTTCATTTGTGCTCTCCCAGTTGGAAGTAGATGGACCAGCTAAATCCTGGTCCCTGAAGGAACATTTATCCTTTTGATTAGGAGTGAGACCTGGAACTCCTTCCAAGCTACTAGTACAGATAGTCATTCCAAAACCTTAACAATAACAATTGGATCTTCAGTCCAAGGACTTTGCAGCCCTTCATAAAAGTTAAAGGATAAAGTTTCATTAGTCCTGGAAGAGTGTATTTTTTTCTCAACTTTAGAGAAGGGATTAGTCAGGCCTCCCCTGCTTTCAAGACATTATCTGAACATTTCCCAGAATTATTAACAACTGTTCAACTCCTACAGTGTTTGCAATGGGATTCTTTGGGGGAAAGGGAAGAATGGGGGAGACTGTGCTGAGAACAAACTAACATATTTGAAGAACTACATTCAATATACTTTGGCTGGTCCTAGCCCTGGTAAATCCATGCTAGTAACTGTGAGAAACGATAATATATATGGCTCTGTAACAAGTGGGTGTCCCGGGGTTGGTCCCAAACATAGGCCCGCCCACTTGTCTTTGGACTAACCACCCACCTACCTCACCTGTCACACTTTGATATTAATGATTACTGGATGTTAATCAGGTGGGAGGCTACCCATTACCTGCCCTGGTGACAAGGGCCTATATACGACTGTGACCTTCCGTTATCGTGTCCCACGCATCACAGATGCTCCATGGCCTAACACCTGGCTTTATAACAATTCAATATAAACACTGGGCTCCGAACCCCATTCTCAGGCTCCGAGCCTCTCCCACTGGGACTAGGGCTCCAAGCCCCATTCCACTACATACACTAATTCATTACCCTAATCCCTTCATCTGGGAGCTCCCATTTTAGCTCCCCAAGGCTCAGGACCCGCCCCCCCAGAGCCTTATTCCCAGGTCCTTAGTACAACCTCAGGCTGCACTGAGAGCCTGGGCACTGCCACAGGTCCCTCCACCTGGCTTGGGCCCTGCCTCAGTGCTTGCAGTGAGCCTGGGCTTCTCTTGTCCAGATCTTAGCCACCAGGGATGTGGGGGCTGGGGTTAGAAGGTGCCCCATACTTGCCTTTCACCGGGGCAGTAAATGGCCTGGCACTTCTGTGGGACTGTCCCACCACAAACAGTCACACCAGGCCACCTGTACCCAGCAGGGTGCAGTTTTCAGTCATGCCCAAGACCATGGGGTCTCCTCCTTCCCCATAGCTCCCGCCCTTACCTCTGAGTTGTACTGAGAAGTAGCTCAGCCAGTGCTGCCTCTCCGGCTCCTGGCAGCAAACTGCTGCCCCTGTCATTCAGGGCCCCACCCTTATATACAACAGCCAGGCCCTGTTCCCTAATCAGGCAGCCCCACCTAATTGGGGTGGCGAGCAGCTGCAGACTGCCTTGCTGCTGCTGCTCAGGCCCCTGCAAGTAACAGCACTTTCTGCTCTGTTACCGGCTCCCAGACTTTCTCTGTGGAATCTTCATGGGGCTAATGGGAAGACACTGCCCCACTTGACCACCCCTGAAGCCTGGCAGCTCCTCTTTCTAAGTCATCCCATGTCCACCCCTTCCCTCTGCATGGACTCCAGCAGACAGATTTCCATGTAGTTTGGAGTAGATGGGGAAAGGTGGTGGTATAGACGTAGCCAAGCTCCATTCCCACAAGAAACTGTGACCATGTGGTTCACTCTGTACAGAACTGTGGGGTATGATTTGACTCTATGGATTTTGTAAATGACTCTTGCAGATATGCTCCTTTCCTTAGCCTTCACAGGTCAGTATTAAAATCTGTTCTAGAAAAGATATGAAACATCTAACTCAACCTCATACAGGTAAAATACAAATTACTGACAAGTGCCAGAGATTTGCAGGGCACTTTACAAACAGGCAATGTCATGTCTGCAGAGATTTAATCTAAGGCATGAACATGTTAAGGGTTGGATACCTTTATGATTCCCTGGCACGTTGCAAGAGGAAGACCAACTAAACTGGTCCCATTAATGGACATAATCTGGTCTCCAATGCTTAGTTTGCCTGAACGAGCTGCAGGACCTCCATTCATCATGTTAGCCAGGATAACTGTGGGCAGAATGGATCCCCATCCAGATTCCACAATCACTACCCCAAGAATTTCTCCCTTCTGCTTTTCTAGCTGGAGCTGCAATGAAAAGTCATACAAATTACTGTTTTGTTTTAATTACATTTCATCTGAATTTTCAACACTAATGTTTCAGTTGTTAAACAATTAAGAGTCACTACTTGCAAAGAAAAAAATTAATTTTCTTATGAACAATGACTTTTGCTTCAAAAGGCACAGTTGATTTAATTTTTTTAAGGAAAATGTGTAATTTTGTGTATGTTATATATAAACAGATGTATGATATATCAAACAGGTGTATGATATATGTAAACAGGCTTTCAATTTAAGAGTCTCATTTAAAGAAATACTGGATAACACCATTTTCTCTCCATGTGAATAATGCAGCAATTAAACCACATGTAGTATGTAATTTGCTATACTGCATAAGTCAGCCTTGTAAATAAAGAAGAGATGGGATAGAGCAGGGATCAGCAACCCATGGCATGTGTGCCATTGTGTGGTACACAAAGGCATTTTGCTTGGCACCTGCACTTTGGGGCAGACAGCAGGGCAGCTGTGTGGGCCCTGACCCTTGCTGTGGCAATGTAGCCTTGGCCCCTTCCCCATCGTACACCTCAAGGTACACGTATACCTACTTCCAACAACGAGCTGGGCCAGGGCTCCGCAGACCCCAATACAGCTTCTTGCAGCCTCTCCATCACTTGCTGCAAGTAGCCCAGGCTCTGTAGCAGGTGGCAGGACCCAGAGCCCAGGCTGGCTATGGCAAGCAGCTGGGAGGCTGCAAGTGGCTGTACCGAGGTCTGCAGAGCCCTGGCTCGGCTCATTGCTGGGAGCAGGTGCACATGTACCTTGGAGTGGATGGTGGGGAAAGAGCCATGGCTGCACTGCCTCAACAAGGATTGGGACCCTCATGGCTTTCCTGCTGTCCACTCCTAGCATGCCAACACCTTCCAAGTCAAGGTTGAAGTTGGTTTTGGTAATCTGCCCAAAAACATTGCTGACCCATGGGATTGAGAATTTCTATTCTGTAGAATCCAAGAAGGCAAGAAGACTTCCATAAAGGTTATTCCTCAAAGTATTAAAATGCAACCAATGTATAACAGCTGCAACATGAACACATGGCCTATCCTTATTCTTCTTGTTAGTTTACATGATTCTGTAAATGCTACTACTCCTATTTTCAAAAGGGTAAATTATAGCAGAAGAGTTATGAACACACAAAATGAAACCATTTTAGAGTCAATAAGGAGTTTTGCTTTTTCTACCCATTAGAAGATGGGCCTAAATCCCACCAATGGTGGAGCCAATGACAATTTTGCCACTACTGTGGGAACGGGATTTGGCTGCAATAGCTGAAGTACTATTAGGTTTTTCTGAAGTAAAGGCAAAATAGGAAATGCAATCCACTATCATAAAAGCAAGTAAGTATAACTAGGTGAGCTTGGTGAGCTGGTACTGAGTCAGAGGAAGTTTACTTATCTTCAGCGGTATCACCAACAATAAAATTCTGTTAATCAGATTTCAGAGGGTATTTTTACTGCTGGTCTATTGGAGAAAAGGATATTCTGCTCAATGGCTCAGCTAAATCAGATTGGTGGTCTTCACCCATTTTAACCAATAAAATTTACCAACCAAGACAGAAGAGGTGCCTCTTAAAAAGGTGTTATTTTTATTTTACAGTTACCTTTCAATACAAATCCTCACTCTACAGCTATCCATATAGGAGCTTACCATTTACTAGTAAACTACAGTTTGCTGAGTTTAAATTAATGGAATTTGGAATAAGTCTGATGTAATTGAAGCAAAAATTGAAACAGTATCTGTCCTGGTTATGATCATCTCACTGCAGAGCCAGAACCCTCATGGCACCATTCTGTCATGGTCTCTCTAAACAAAGTGACATTAAGGGCCAGCCTGTGACAGTTAGCCACTGGGCTGGAATGAGGCAGTAGGAAACTGAAACCTCAGGGAGAGCTTTAGTGTCTCTTCAGAAAGTCCAACTCTTTCCTGCAGTTGCTCAGGCTGCACTATCCTCTTACCATTATCCCACGTGCTCCCTGGGTGGAACGTACTCTGGAGATGTACGAAAGGAACAGTGTCTGTTTTCCTCACGTACAAGGACCTCACTCTAGTGTGGGAGGACAGAAATGGAGGAAGGTTCTTCATACTTCGTGCTGCTCTGGACACCCCCCAAGAGCCAAGAACAAACTGGCTGTGTTTGGATCCTGTCCCATAATTCTAGTATGCACCTCTTGATTAAGAAGTATTATTAGAGTGCCAGATAAACACTCCTGCTCTCCAACCTTTGCTGGCAACACTTACATTTTGGAGCAAAACTGTCTTGTATGCATGCCTTGAAAAGTTTAAATGTTTTTGTGGAGAACTAGAATGGGCATTAAAAGCACACTGCCTCAATACAGCAAAGTACATGTGGTGCATCTTCTAAGATGAAAAATGTCAGCTCATTTCCTAGAGATATATAGTATCAACCAGCAATATAAAATATATTAACAACGGTGGCTGTTTCTATTGTTACATCAGTACCCCCTTGACATCCTGAGCCTGGTGCAAAGTCATCTAAGATGTAAATATCAATGGAAGCAAAGTGCCCCAAAATAAAAGAAGAATAATTTTAAAAGCTCAAAAAATCATTTTGCTGATTTTATTAGCAAAATGCCAATAATAAAATTTGATGTCCATTACAAATGTACTGTTAAAATGTGACATCATATCTCTGTTCTATATTTACAGAAAGAAAAAAAAAGGAAAACTGGATCAATGTGGAATGAAAATCATAGACTGGCTTTACCTCTTTGCAGTTCTCTGAATTGGAGAAGTGTATAAGATCATCATTATACATTTCTTGGGTATTGATGATGTCACTATATTCTTTCTGGCTGAGATCCTCTGGGTTAATTCCATTAGCTCTCAGGAACTCCTGGTAGGCCACGCTGAAAGCCTGACCAATTGACTGAGCTATCAGCTGTGCCTGTGTGACACAATAAGATACAATTCAAGAGTCTGAGCAACACTCAGAGAAGTAATGCTACCCAAAGAAATAACAGAGCTAGCCTTCTTTTGGATGCACTAATAATAATAGACAAATACTAAATCTGTTATAAAGTCTATTACACGGAAATGCATCCTTTATCATTGAAAACAAATGACAAACTCAATTGGATGGGATATTGTAGCTGCAATGGTCTAAGAAATATGTGAGGCAAGGATTTGTGTGGGTGATATCTTTTATTGCACCAACTGCATGGTTGGGAGATGCTTAGACAAGCTTTTGAATGCCGGGCACTCTTCTTCTGAAGAGTAATCTGAAAAAGCAGTGTCCTAAGCCTATCCCAACCATGCAGTCAGTCCAAGAAAAGATAATCGCCCACAAAATCCTTGAAACTCAGTTGGATAAATTCTTGATGTCCTTTCATGAAGAAACTGCTACTAACTACATGCTGCTTTTACAAAGGTTTCTATAAGCTCAGTGGTGCCCAGCCTTCCCCCTGCCCCCCATGGGCTGGATGGACAGTGCTCAGTTCATCCATGGGCCAGATCCAGTGTGTGAGATGGTGAGACTGTGTTTGATCCAGCTGCGTGCAGGGGTCAGAGAGAAGCCCAGCCTCAACTGGGTCCCATGGGGGGAGGAGGTGTGGTCCAACCCCAAGCCAGCCATGTTGGGGAGGGGAGGGAAAGGGGGTGTGGCCCCAGTCTGGCAGCATGGGGAAAGGCGGCATGGCCCAGACCCAATGAGGGGAGGAGGCATGGCTTCGCCATACAGGGGAGAGAAGGGGGTAGTACCATGGCAAGGAAATTTGGTACCTGGGCAAGCCCGCAGCAGCAGCAGCCCACCTTCACCCTGTGCACAGATCTGGGGGGCACACCCTCCCAGTGCATGCAGCAGTGGGAGCCACCCTCCCACCTGTCCCCGCACCTCCCGAAACAAGCCACTCATAGCTCCATACCATGCCTCACGCTGGCTGGCACCCCTTTGTTTTGGCACCCTGAGTAGCTTGGTAACAGGGGAGGACAGCAGTATTACTTGCCCCTGCTCCCCCACCATCAAATTTCCCAACTCATGGGGAGTCCCAGGGGCCAGATGCAATAGTTCTGCAGGCCACGTATGACCTATGGGCCAGAGGTTGAGCACCCCTGCTATAGATGAAAGGTTTTCAGGCTTTATCATAGCATGGTAAGCATGTTAACACAAATATTGTTGCATGTTCTGAGCACTCTGTATGCTCTTATCACAGTGCACAGTCCCCTGCGACATAGAATGGAGCAGTCTGTACTTGTATCTGTGAGCATAGTACATTCTCTTTCTTTGTGATTATTATTCAGGCCTCACATGGTGAAGACAGATGCACAGTCAGGTTTACTGCTCTGTCACTGGTATATTCTCTACACTTATATCACTGCATGTGCTGCCTCTGGAGTCCACTTCCTTTTATTTTACTGATGTTATACTGCCTCATAGCTCCATCAAACCCTTACTTAACCCAGAACAGGGCTGTTCAACCAGTGTTAAATTGGGGCTTAATTGTGGCTCCCGGGCTCCTGCCTGGCCACTGCCACCCCTGCATTTCTCTGGCTGCAGAAGCAGTCAGGGGCATGGGTGACTGGAGCCACCTTAGTTGGGGGGGCACATGCCCCCCCCCAATGACCAGTTAGCAATTGGAGGGGAGGACATGGTCAATTGCCCCGACTGGGGAGGAGTCCCCCTGCAGCCAAATGCACTGACCAGGGGGCACCCTGATTGTGCTCACTGGGGGGGAGGGTAAAATTTACCAAAAGCAGCTGCAGCACTCCCAGAAGTGGCCATGGGGCTTTCAGAAATGGCCATGGTCTACATCCTGCACTCACACTCCTTAGCTGGCACTCGCAAGGGGGGCATCAGCACTCCTGCCTGCCCTCCCACCCGTCACATGGCCTGACAGGTGGTGCACCAGCACTTTCAGGGGGTGCACATGAACCCCTGTGCACCCCCTATGCATCGCCACTGGTCAGGGGCTCTGAATGCCCTCTCCCTCCAGCTTCCCCTTCCCCACACCAGAAAGAAGGAGGTGCAGCATAATAGTCTGCAGTACTGAGGGAGCCTGCAGCCTGGGGTACCTGAGAGGCAGGATGCAGTGAAGAAGCCTGGGAGGAGCGACCTAGGTGAGGTGGGGTAGGGCACTCAGGCACTTGATGCAGCAGAGGAGGGGAAGTCCCATGCACACTGTGCAGTCAGAGGAGATAGGGAACTGGGGTGCACATTGCAGCAGGGGGACATTCAGCGCAGCAGGGAGGACATGCATTGTGTGGGCCCTGGGGCATGCAGCCCTCAGCTGCCAAGAAGCTTGACATCCCTGACCCAGACCAGTACCTACCCTACATGCCAGCATGAACAATTTTTAAAAATGTGACTGTGCCTCACTGAACTACATAGTTTTGTGACAGCATGTCCCTTTTAAAAGCAGAGTGTGAACCAATCAAACACTACTAGACATGCTCTTCCCACATTTAGCACAACTCTGCTGAACTTTAGCTGGTTCTGGTCCATGTTTATGATACTTTTGTGTAGAATCTTTTTGACTATATGCAGTCCTGTGCAATATGAAACAATTGCCCATTACTGTTTACTGTAAGAGAGCTTAATAAAAACCATGATTGACTTTCTGGAAACTAAGGTCAGACACATTAGAAATGAACAGACAGCTAGACAGATCATAACAACAATACTAAGCATTTCAAATATCCAGAGTATATGCAAATATGAACTAAGTAATTAAGATAAACTTATGGAGTTCTGTAGAAAACTTTGCTTTGGTTTCCACTAGATGTCACTATAGCACAGAGAGACAGAGGTAAAACGAGCAGGATGAATTTTTGTGCCCCGTCAGTTTTCTTATCTGAAGTTTTTATTTCTCCTGGTATGAATCCACTGCAATCACAGGAGAATGCTAGATTAGATTTGATACATCAGTGTGACTTATGGAAACCCAATTTCACCAACAGGATATTAACAACTCCTGCTGACTTAAATAGGAGCTGCATGTATCCTACAGTGTAGGGTTCTTCAAAAACAGCAGTGATCAGCTATGGCCCACATAAAATGTGTGATTATTTAGTCCAATAATATAAGATTTGAAGGTCTGCAGAATTCTGAAGTGGCTACCTGCTATCAAATGACTGACACCACCCAGGTTCAGTCAGGCATGTGCAGACTACTACTACATATGGCAGAAACAGATTTAATCTAACATTTCTAGCCCTTCACTTTACTTTCAAAATCCATTAATCCTCTACTGTGAGTGAAAATAAAGGTATGAACTCTGATGTGGTCCCTACCTTTCCTTTTTAAGGAAGTAAGCAGGCTTATCAAGATACAATATCCTGAATAAACTGGCCAAAGAGGGCTGTACAGCTGAAAAGATACCACATTTTGTAAACACATTCCAGCCCAGAGTAGAGAGTGATATAATGACAGAACTCACAACCACTTTGGGGTACCACCTTTGCAGAGCACCCAAGTCACTTTTTATTACACATAACCTTTTATTAAAAAGTATTGCTGAATTCTGGTTTCATGTAAACAGCTGCAGTAAGTGGTTTTATTGACCATATGGTATTAAGAAAAGTAAAATTTGTAACCATTAAGAGTGCTTTGCACATACTCAAAACTAATGGATCCAACCCAGTCGGATCTACCAGTGAAACAGTAGACTGTTCTGGGGCCCCCTGCAAAAAATAGTTTTGGGGCCTCCTGCCCCAAAGAAGCCAGCGATGGTAGCGGGGCAGAGGGAGGGGGTGGCGAGCAGCCAAAGAAGCCAGTGGCAGCGGCAGCGTCCGGGGGGGGGATGGTAAGCAGACAGATGTGAAGCTGGTGGCAGCAGCAGCTGTTGGGGGGAGGGGGCGGACACAAAGGACCCCTTAGCTGTGGGGCCCCCTGCGGCCACTGGTTTCACAGGCTAGGACAGGTTGGCCCTGAGGCCAAGGCCTCTTTATGCCTATCCATTAAGATCTTTTGACCTAACCATTTTGTGGGCCTGTCAGCAATTTATCATCATTTAAAGCAGCTCCAAGTTTAGAGAAGGCCAAGAACAGTCTCTGGCCAGCCCCAAGACTATGGGAGTATAAATGCAGCATAATAAGCTTAATAAGACTTAAAAAAGCAAAAGTTTAATAAAGCAAAATTATCACATTTTTACCTAGCAAATGCAAATGCCTACTTTGGCCATCCATGGCAAAACATACCATTAAAAAATCTGTATTATTAAGCACTGACATATTTGCACTGCCTGAAAGAGCACAAAGGATTTCCATAATGGAGTCTGACAAGAAAAAGAAATGATTTGGGGGTTGAAAGATTTGTAGGTAGAGGAGAAAACAAGGTAAAACCCCTGGGGACAGAAAAGCAATAACAAATTGTAAATTATCTAGTCAATATTTCAAAGGATTCTCTCATTAGAAAGTAATTCCTGATAATGACAATGCATTCATGTGAAAGACTGAGGTTTCTGAAGTTCCCTAACTGACATACTGTTTTTAAAAAATAACAATTTACTTACATCCTCTGATTCAAAGACATGGCATATCATTTTGTACTGTTTCTTTCCTTCCTGGGCACCAGGTGTTGTCTCAATACAGTCTTGAGAAGCTGACCTTGGCATCCGGCGTCTTGCCATTAAAACAACAATGTTACCAATATCAGCAATGTATGAGATTGTGCGTAGTGCATGATCCATCATTGTTTCCTACATAAAGCAAAGGATAAACAAAAGTATTCTCTGTGCATACTATTTCTCCATAAATTTTGCATTTGCTTTCACTCTTATGACCTATTTCTTGGGCATCACAACAGTCAACTAAACTGGTATCCCCTGGTACATGTTATATGGGGCCACGTCCTATATTCCTAAGTCAGTTAAAAGCAATCAAAACTCAATTTTTGTTATGGAAAAGCATCCATTAAAAACCATGCCAGAGCAAGACTGCAGGTGTTTGGCTCTGGGGTGCCACTCCAGTTAAGCACGTCAGACCCCAGATAGAAGGAGAAGATGTTTCAATATTATAGAAAAAATTTCATGGTGTTAAAAATAACACATGAGCTTTGCAAATGATTACTCTCCAAAGTTCAGTAGATTCATTTCACAGTGACAGAAGGAGTTTATGACAAGGTCATGAAAACGTCTTACTGTTAGGAGGACAAGCTAAAGAGCATTCAACAAATTGTAACATCAAACTTTTCCCAAAAGAATATAGAAATATTTTTCTTCCCTCAAATAAGAGATTGTTAATGTAATGTTTTCACCCCAAAGGGAAGCTGGATAGGTGAAAAAATTATAGTGATTTCAACGGGGTTTATGTCAGGGTGAAACGACTCGGTGCATATCAGCTGATGCAGGGTAACTGTTGTCTGGTCTATTCTATCCCACAAGAAGCGGAACCTAAATCAGGGCAATTTACCCCTAAATGAAGCAACTGCTAAATTAATGTGGTTTAGTTTATAATTACTGTAGGACAGAAAGGACTCTTAAAATAAAGTTACAGCAGACATATTATAAGTACCTCCCTGCCTCACCAAACACACACATTTTAATTCAATGTAACTGTTTCATCTGCTAAGGCTTCTCTCTCTTACTGGCTTCCTCACCATTTAAATCATACCACATTGGCTGTACATAAGGCAGCCTAGTCTAGAATCTGGGCACTAAAACACACTCGTATATTTACCTAATTAAATACCCAAATAATCCCAGAGAAGTCATTGGCACTGCTCACATCCTTAAAGGGAAGAACATGTCTTAGTACTTTGCTGAGTTGAGGTTTGAATGTAAGGGAGTCTATATACACATCGCTTCTGAAGTTGGCCCATCGCGGGGGCAGGCAACTGTCAGCAAATGTCAGTTTTTGTTTAGAGTATCTGGGCAGGACTCCTGAAGTTCCACCATCTGCAAGGTGAATGCGACAGGCAGCTATATAATACGTCACACAGCAGGGCAACAGGAAAGCCATGGAGAAATTCTCTTGGTTACAGCAGGTCAGCCCAAGCGTCTGCACAGGACCACCCCAGTAAGGCTAATCCAGCCATGTGGGACTTGGAAATCTGGCAGCAGGGGCATGGTGGCAATGTTATTTGACACCATTTCCTCCCTGCCAAATTTCCAGACCCTGGGGAGACCCGCAGGCCAGGTTACATGGCTCCATTGCCTGGGGGTTGAACACCCCTGCTCCAGGGTATTCCAAGTTAATGAGAATGCGCCAAATCAAAATCTTCATCAACCCACAGTCCAGTTCAGCTCACCACCTGGCAACTGAGTAATACTGGGGGAGCTATTGCAACTATATTTTAACTTGGAGCAATTTTTGCCCTTTGATTTTGTTTTTCCATGGAAACTTGCCCAAAGTATGACCTAAGAAAGATCATACCTATGAACCAGCTGAATTTTACTAAATACAAAAAAAGAATAAAAATTAGAAGCAATCTTTAAGTGCATCTCAAACCTTCCTGTGCCTAACTGAAATCTTTTCATGTTGCATATTCTTGACAGGTTATTTTTGCCTTTTGAACCCCTTTCCATTTTCAACATTATGAGTAAAATCTCAGCCTATCACTGTTAGATATTTTCTCTTAGGCATGCATCATTCACTGTACAATGTCTTTGAGTATTAAGTTACCACTGGACAAACGTGAAGTAAGTGAATATTTGCTGTCAGGAAATAATTTTTTATTACTGAATTTGTTTTAATCCATATACTGTCATCAGTTTGTGTGTTTGGATTTTTTTGTATTCATCTTAACCTTTGTTTTACTGATCTGAGTTTCATGCTTCTAACAAAAAACAGTGTTTCCCACAAGGAGGAGTCTTCAAGGACATTTTTAATATTGATTCCTGCACAACTCTGTTCTGTATTTAAATCTGTACTAAGTTTTATCATCAGTAAGCTCAGTACTGACTGTGAATAAACTAGCATGGGTCACTAGCTAGCTACTATTTAAGAGGTCAAATTTGCAAAGTACTTTGCATATAAATAATATTATTACAGTTTATGATAATGTATGGTTACCAATGACATTGCTAGAGAAATGTTCTGGAAGGACTTTAAAACATTTAAAATACTGGAATACTGCAAAGCTGCGCAGTTTTTTTCTGCTGCTGTTCTAGCTAATTACTTGTCAATTTATACAGATTTTATACAACCCTCTTTCAAAGTGATCTAATTTTACCTTTAATTTTCTGCAAAAAAATTATGCAATTCTCCTAAACCCACTGTATGGTCTGTTGCTATGGAAGATGTTCCATTGTGCCTGAAACCTTTTATGTTAAAAATGAGAGGTTTAGGAACGCTCAGACAATCAAGTAATCTGACTGACTGAATGTCCCTAAAGTATTTTGAAAATTACCATTTTTGAAGAACGGCTTCAGTTTGTAAAAGGAGATCTAGTTAGTATTCAGGAATCTAAGAATGGGAAAATGTAGGCTGAGCATCAGGAAAAACTACTTAGATTCCAATGTCAGAAGTCTAACTAATAGAGGAAGTCAAAAGACCATAATTACAGGATATGTAAAACTAGCCTGTACAAGCATGCTTCTGAGGCCATATATAGATGGCCCATTTTTACAGGGAAAAAAAGTTTGTCCTGTGATCCTACAGACATACAAGATGACTGTTCTGCTTCGTCTCACTGAAAAACACAGGATAAAATGTGCTATTGCTTTTTTCTGGGACATCATATTGCATGTCTGTAAGGTTATTGCGGGTCATTCCTAAACAAGCTGGCTAGGATGTGTGCTCTCAGCAGCCACCTAGAGGAACAGCAAAGCAACTGAGAAGGGCTATGTGCATAAATGACTGTGCCACCCCTGTTTTGATCTGGGTCAAAACCCGGGATAATCAGGACCATGTCAATATCTATTTATGGCCTCATAAATGTTTCAAGTTGGGCACCCAGAATTACTAACTGCTTCTAAAAAGGTTTGATAAATTCAGGACATATATTCCCATCTTTGTTTTTCCGTAGGTCCTTTATAAATGTTGCCATACTTAAATGTGAAGTATCCATCTTCTTTAAAAATAGAAGTATTATCTGTAAATTCTGCTTTGCTGGTTTCATTAGTTTATTTTATGTATTGCTCAAGTTGGCAGGATAATTGTGTAGCTGGTCAGAAACAGTGGGGGATGCTATTTTTCTCTTAGGCATAAGCGGTTTGGACTGAACAGCTAAAACATTAATCGAATCTTCTGCCCAAGTAGGAATACAAACATCCTTGTTCTTCAATCAATTCTTTTTTGATTTTCTCTGTGTATTTAGCTTGAAACCAATATATTATTTTATTATTTCCCTTCTTAACATTTAGGTCCTTTGTCTAGGAGAGAAATGACCTCTGCCACTGGTTCCATAACCATTGTTCTCGCCTATGCAGTTGTGGGGAACAGGAAGAAACCTGTGACAGTGGCCATGTGATAGCACAGTGAGTAACTGTTGGAGACCAGTAATCACTAAGTGGTGCGATGTGAAATTTCACCCATTCCAACTACAATACACGGTAATTGGGCTACTGAAAACAAAACTGTGAAGTTGGGTAGACTGTTTTGAACAGAAGCTGCCAAAAAACTTTTCCCACCCTGATGCAGTACAGCACCTTGTGCACAGCCACAACATATACCCAGGGAAAAGCGCTGACTGACCAGAACATGCAGTACAACAACTAGGGATGGCTCATACGATTGAGCTTTTCTTTTTGCCTTTGCCATAAGCACTTCGGTGTTCTTCTTTTGGCCTTGTGAAGTTGGATAACCCATCTTCTGACAAGCTGACAATCTACGCAACTGTCTGCTCTGAAGAACTATTCTCACACATACACATACTCATTAATGTAGGTGTTATAAAAGGGGAGGGGGAGCTGTTGTTTGGGAATGTACATCAGCTGTTAGGATGCAACTCTTAGGTATGCATGAGCCTATAATGATACAGGATAACTAAATCACCCTGACTTTGGTTCTGAATGAAACAGGGTTTAAATTTGGAACAGTTTTGCTAAACTTGTCTTAGTGAAGAATCACAAAAGCCCAACAGCTGCATCATAACAAGTTATGCCTGTATCTAGTTTATATCAGTGTAATTGTTATATTTGTCTATATCCTGAGAGAATCTCTCATCACTGATATAGGGAGCCTGACATCTGAGCATTAGCCTGCCAAATTAAAATGCTCCCTTTTTTCCTGACAAAATGGAAAAGATTTTCAGGTCAGGAGAATAATTGTTTTAAGAAGTTTTGTACAATGTAATTTGACAAAACTAGGAAAATACCAACACTGAAGTCTTATTGGAAATACCTCTCTTGCTGCAAATAAAAAAAAAATCCATGAATTATTGTTTAAAATGTTTTTCTCAATCTCTAAATGAAATATTCTTTATTTGTCCCCAAATTGTGAGAGAAATGTGATACTGGCTGCTGACAAGGCTTGTGAGTTTCTCTGAGGTTTCACAAGAACCATCTGGATCTATAGAGGCCCTAGCCATCTTGGGAACTCTGCAGAAATAATTGTTTTTCAGCAGTCTGATTTCTGTGTGTTATAAGGACATAATCATATATGCACAGATCACAGACTGGAAATGGGGCAATACATACAGCTCTGCACTTCACCTCTTCTGGCATGAGTTTCTTTCCCTACAAACACCACCTACAAGCACCTAAAGATTCTTGTAGATCCAGCAAATTCTGTCTACACAAATATACTTCACTTCTGT